CTGCTGGTGGGGCTATTGCTTCCCCTAAGGCTGATATCATTTGGAGAGGAGAGCTCTACCTGAGAAATATGGCTTCTGAAGCATGGGTTATGACTCAGTACAATGATCCTGGCAGCTGTACCTTCAGTTCTCTCCCCAGAGCCACCAACCCCAGATGCTCCTCAAACATCTCCAGTCCACCCTTCCCGCCCTCTGCCAGAGCCCAGAGTAAGTGGCTGCAAACAAAATTTTGTTTGTTGGCTCTTTCAGAGTCTCTCTCAATCTCCAGCCATTTCTTCCTGGCAGACAGAAACCCTGCTGCTGTTTACAGCTGGATGTTATCTGGACTCCTTTCTGGCACTGGCACTGTAGGCTGGGGAGCCCAGCTTGAGGTTTAGACCCCACCCTTTTCAGAGTGAAGCACCCCCCGCCGTTGCTAAAATATCCCTCTGTAACTTCAGCTGCCTCTCACGGGAGCCCAGCCAATCTCTCGTGCCTCCTCTGCACACCCTACCAGACTCATTGTGGTGAAGTGGTTTCCTCCATCTGTCCTTCCTTGGTTATAAGACTTCTCTCCAGCTAGTGTTCAGTTGGTTATTCTGGATGATTTTTCTACAATTTGTTATAATTCCTGATTGGTCCTGGGAGGAGATTAGTGTAGTTTCCACTTACTCCTCCACCATCTTGGATCTCCCCTTGGGTCTTTCTTTCTGAATTCCCTTCTCTCTGTGGTCTGTGTTAATGAAACTCACTAATGGTCTGTGTGGTAATGATTAGGTACTAGTGGCCTATGAGCTAATGCCAGTAGTGGCTGGGAGGAGCCAAAGGAAGAGGTGGTAGAGCTTTCATGTTGTTGGGAAGCTCTGGGTGGCCTACCTGTTCACTTACTTGGCTTTGTATCTCTTCTACTACCTTTAGTACACATTCTCTCTTACCTTTTTAAACCTGGGTGAAAGAAGCTTTAAGGTGGATACAAGACCAGCAGGCCATATGGCCAATGGCGTTATTTAGCCATGAGCAAGAAGCTATGAAAAAAAACTCTGTTAAGGTAGTGCTATTTCTTTTTCCTACCCATAGGGTAACTTTAGGACATCAAGGTTAAGTGATACCCTAATAACATGGAGGACACATGCAGGTTCCACAGGTGCAAGGTATACAAGTGGGGTTTGGCTAATTAAGAGGGATCATCTGCCTCATTAGAAAGGATCATGTTTAATTAAAGCAAGAATCATCACAGTACGAGTTTCCAGAAATGTTAGCCTCATGGTCATGGTCCTGTACTCCCTGAATTTGCCCTCCAAGCTTTCACTCTTGCCACCGTGGTGTCTATGATGAGGAGGAGGGAGGGACAGGAGGCAGCTTTAGTAGTCAGCTGTCATTTGGTAGTGTTCAACTCCAGAAACTACCACCTGCTACTTTGAGAATCATTATCCAATGTAGCAAGAATATGGTTCTTCCAGATGTGACTCCAGATAAACAATCACCCTTCTTCTTCCCCCAAAACAAAGTCAGAAAAAAAAAGGCTAAATGAGCCTGGTTCAGATTCAGTATTCTAATATATTAATAGTTCATGTATTATCACAGAGAATTTGGCATATAATGAGATACAGGACACAGTGTCTCTGACTCATTACTTAAAGTCTTTGGTCAAAAAGTATAAAAATTGGTTCCCATTCCATACAAATTAATTTTAAAAATGTATGTAAGGTAGAATGTGAATAAATAAGGTATGACTGAATGCCTTTTTGTAGCTGGGGTATCATCCCTGATGTTATCAATTTTAATACCTATTTAAAAATGTCAAGATCTATTTAAGTTCAGACAAGCACAACTAACATTGAAGTCAGTTCTTTAGAAGTAGAATGACTGGATTTGAGTGATACTTAGTAAATTTGTGCTTACGTATTTTTCTGAGCAAATGAACTGAAATAATTATAAAATTGATATATTTTATAGGGTGAAACTACTGATTTAATTGTATGAAATTTACTGGGGATAAAATGTAATCATTTTATTCAGCAGTCCATGGTATAATTAAGACTATTCTTTGAGATATCTCGTATTTATGATTTTTCTCTTCCACCTGGATGACACATCTCAAATTCAAAATTATACATCAATTAGGTAAATTCTCAGGATCTGTTGTAAGGAGGCTGTTTTGTAATATCACGTGCATCCATGATTTTATTATCCACAGGGATGCTTTTGCAATCAGAGCCTAGAAACAGAAGCAGAGACACAGATAGTGCTCTGGACTTCCTCCATTTTATTTGGGAAAGGGACCACACAGGATGATCCATGATTTAATAATAAGTAATGCAGCAGGATGTAATACGTGATGTGCAGTAAAGATCCTCTTAAATTCCCATCAGAGCACACACCATGAACTGTGCTAATGTATGGAACACATTTTACAAAATCTGCATGTGTGAGGCTTTTCCATCTTGTTTTAAGTGGGGCAATGTATATAAATAATAGATATTAGCAATTAGGCATCCATTCCTATGCACTCATTTATACATTTGAAAATAAATTAACCACAAACTACATGAAAGTGGATGCAATCTACTCTTTTCCCTTCTGTTTCCCCTGCTGTTTTGAAGGATATTTCTGTATTTATCTCAGTACGAACAATGACCCAAGATCTCAATTTCTGCATCCTTAAATTAATTACTATAAAAATTCTCTAAAATAAAGTGAGTGTGATTTAACTCTTGATTTCCTTGATGATTGTTCTTTGAGATAATGGGAGTTTCTTATCACTATTTGTGGGCCTTAATCTGGGTTTTTCACTCTTTCTTTTTATCCAGGTATCCAAATCTCTCACCTTGATTGGAGAATTTTTTCCAATCTGGAAAAGGAGGGTTGGGTTATTATCTATGTTGTTAGTTGAAAACCAGAATGTCCTGGGTGATAGTGGCTTGAGACCAGGTCTTAAGAAAGCAATAGAATCAACTGTTCTCATGATTCTCTTATATTATTTTAAAGAAAGAGTAATCAGTTATTTTCCTGCATGACAGTCCTCTTTATCAGTTGCTATTTTAACAAAATAGTCATTTTGGCCCTTCCCTAAGAATATAAGTGTTCAGATACCATGCTAGCCATATTGGCCCTTTTCACTCCCCCTTAAGCCTTGATAGGACAAATCAGAGTGTTTCTGCAGCTGCACTGTGTTACACAGTGTGGGTATGTACAATGGCAATTTCTAAATCTGGGATCAAACACCAAGGTCCATTATGAGTAAGATCCACACAATCTTGATACTATCTGGTCAAATTCTTGGGCATCAAAATATTTTTTCAGAGAATTCTCCTGTATTGCTTGTTTTCCTATTTGGCATCAAACTCTTAAAAAGCCAGAAACATAGGTATCACCCTGGGTTGAAGGTCACAGCTTGGCAGTCTATAGGCCAAAAGTGGCCCAAAGCTATTGGAGGTGTTTGGAGGTTCATAAAGAAATATAACAGAACTAGGCCCTGGCCAGATAGTTTAGTTGGTTAGAGTGTTGTCCTGATCTGCCAAGGTTTTGGGTTCCATCCATGGTCAGGGCACATGCAAGAATCAACTGATGAATGCATAAGTGGAACAACAAACTGACATCTCTCTTTGTCCTTCCCTTCCTCCCTGTCTCTAAATTAACTAACTAACTAACTAAGTAAATAGATAAATAAATAAATAAAACTATGGTTGTCACTTAAAATTTTAAAGATTTCATATAACATTCTCTATTTGGCAGCTTTTGGACTATGATTTCCTCTGGCAACAATTAATTGGAACTGAGTAGAGGCAGTGCTCTTCAACTTGCCAGAATCCTCACCAATCCCTGTTGTTTACTTTCAGTTTACTTCATTATTCACATTATCTCCTGGTGATTGAAGGCAGTAATATCTATAGCTTCTGGTCTAAAGCATCCACAACATTTGTACAAGTTACCACATACATAGCATGTATTAGGAATCTTCTCTTCCTTTACTTTCTAAAACTATAATCATAAAAAAATAAAAACCAAATTATATTATATGACAGGGTCTATATTGGTGCTTTATACCTGTTATGTCATTTGATCTTCAAAACATCTTATTGGGTGTTACTAGTTCCATTACACAACTCAGAGACTAAGATTCAGAGATGGTAACAAAAAATAAAAGAGTCTTATACAGTTAATATTTTCAGAGTGATGAATTAAACTGATGTGATTCCAAAGATCTTCTTATATAGTTTATTTTAATTTTTTTCCTAATTTTCACAAAGTAAACATGAATTTAAACACATAAAAGAAACTATACTTTATTGCATATTCCTTTGAGAAACTCCTAGCTTTCTTTAAACTTTTGTATTACTTAATGTAAATATTAAACACTACAAAATTCTTAAACAGTTTATGTTTCCTATAGAGGTCACTGTGCAGTTAACCTGAGTAAAATTCATATTTTCTGGTTCAGAGTCATGACTTTTAACTTGATTATGTTGATCATTCAAGTCAATTTAAATTGGCTTTGCAAATGGAATGTACCTTTTTGTCACATGTAGGGATGGTTTGTTGTAGGTCTGCACTGATCAGAATGCTTAGGAAGTGTTATTACCTAGAAGAACCAACTCTTTTCATAGGTTGTTGATGTAAGCATCTCGAGATTTTACATAGTCTGTTTTTACACCTTTCCAGCATTTCAATGCCTAAATGCACCATTCCACTCTGCCTAAACAGTCCTAGATCTGAGAAAAAAAAAAGCCTGCTATTTTTCTTTACCCACTTCATAGCCCCACAGCAAGAATGATTACACCTCACCCCAGCTCTTTAAAACACTTTACCTCCAATTTTCAGCCTTGAGAGCAAACAATCTGCCAAGCACCTCATAACTGCAAAGTGACCTTGACATGTGTCATTCACTAGGGTTTTCAAATCAAAGTTTTTCTGTTTAATATTCATAAAGCCTTTTTTTCCTCACAGCATATGTGATGATTTTACAGGGGCTGGGGGTTGGGGAGCTTTATTTAGAGATGAGTTAACTGTGCAAAACATACCATCAGTGTCTCTCTGATGAGCTGAAGTATCAGTTTGAAGGTAAGAAAATTTTGTCTGGCATTCTTCAAGGGAGGACAGTGATGCGGTGGATTCTGACAGTTTTTTCTCCTTGGAAGTTTCCTTGGTTGGTCCATCTGCGATACTGAATTCAGATACTGAATTTATAACAATAGCATTAATGGGTTTCTCTTCTGTATGTTTTTCACTTGTGAGCTGCATATCTAGATGAAAAAAAAAAAAAAACCACACACACAGACTCACTATAGTTGATACAATCTAATGGTCTAAGAATGGACCTTTGCAGAAAATTTCATATTCTAGATTTTTATAAGAATAAAGTCTTTTAAACGAATTGGCAGTTACAAAATAGTCTTGGGGATGTAAAGTCCAACATAGGTAATACAGTCAATAATGCTGCCAGGTGGGTACTGTAAATATAGGGGGCAATACTTTGTAAAGTTTATGATTGTCTAAACTCTATGGTGTATACTTGAAACTATTATAAATTAATATTGAATGTAAACTATAACTGAAAAAAATTAAATTGAAAAAAATGAAGTATTTTTGAGCAGGAAATTTTGAATGAAAATGCAAATAAGAATAAGAGTATAATAATGATAAAATTTTATACAAATTGCAAATTTTATCTATCATAGTAATTTGTAACATTTCTACTGTGGGGTTTTTAATGATAAGTGGAGAGAATCAAGGAATTCATTCACTTGGATCAAGCAAATCCTGTAGTATGTTGTCAGGTTACTGTCATAGTGTTTTATGGATCTGAGGAATAGTAGTCAAAGGGTCTTCAGTGCTGGGCAGTACTTTACAGTAACAGTTTGTAATCTCAATGAAGTTGTTTTATTTCTTTGTTTCTACAAACCCTGTGTAAAGATAGTGGTTATTAATAAATAGTCTACATGCTGATTTCTACTGCTGCTCTCAGAGACTCTAAGTTGCTACCCTTTCCTTTGCTTTTGTGTTTGTTAGGTCCCTATTTGGGTATAGTCTATATGGATTGGGTGGGGTGATTTTTGGACACATGATGTATTTCCATATAATCACCTGGAACAATTATTAGAAATGTTCGTGGAACCTTTAGCAAAGTTCTTGATTGAGACTGTGGTTTGTACAGACATAGAGGAGGCTGGGAAGGCCCAGGTGCTTCATGTATTTTAAACTCCTGTACTTATTCATTCCCATATAATGCTTGAGGGTCTGCAGTGTAGCAAGCAGTGGGCTGAGCACTGGGTAGACAGTAGTGATTATGGTGTCATTCTTGGCTTTCACAAACATCAAACAGGTTAGTAAAAATAACTGCTAAAGTTACAGTATTGAAAAAGAGGCACATCATGAAGTCATATTATAGAGGGAACCAGTCTGGGAAGTAGTACAGTTAATTTGTTACTTAGCTACACTCACTAAACAAAAAATCCTAAGATTGAGAAAGGAGTTAACAGAACATATTCTCAAACATATAGCCAGGCTGACTCCTGGGGACATCCTATGAGCTCAACAAGCAATGGTTCTAGTGATTTGATGGTACTTTTGGGAAGTGTTGAAGATGAATTCTGGAGAATTGCATTTCCATTGATGGCCCAATGCCTGATTGATTCAATAATGCTCATGGAGTGACTGAAATAAATAATGCAGTTGGCAACTGGGTTTGATTTTTATCATGCTCACACTATTCAGTGAAAGAAATATGTTCTTGCTAGGTCCATATTCATCATTCTTTTAAAAGCTACTTTTTAGTTTGGAGCAGATGGAAATCTTTACTTGGTCTTACCTCCTAGGGCATTGATTTCCAGTCTAGTGTTTGTTTTTGTTTGTTTGTTAATTTTTAAAAAATTTTTTATTTTATTTTTTTTTAATTTTATTTTAACTGTTGTTGCAGTACAATTTTGTGTTTTTTACTCCCATCCCAACTCACCCACCCCTAGTTTTTTATTCATGTGTTTTTTATACTTGTCCCTGTAAACCCTTTCCCTTTGCCCCTGAAACTCCCCTGAAATTCCATCCCCTCTCCCCTCTGAACACTGTCAGCCTGTTGTCTGTTTCAGTGTTTTTGGTTGTATTTTGCTTGTTTCTTTGTTTTGTTGTTCAGGTCCCTGTTAAAGGTTAGATCATATGGTATTTATCTTTCACTGCCTGTCTTATTTTGCTTAGCATAATGCTTTCCAGTTCCATCCATGCTGTTGCAAAGGGTAGGAGATCCTTCCTTCTTTCTTTCTGCTGCATAGAATTCCATTGTGTAAATGTACCATAGTTTTTGGATCCATTCATTTACTGATGGGCACCTAGGTTGGGAGGACATACAGAGCATCCAGAGACACATGAAAAGATGCTCAATATTGCTAGCTATCAGAGAGATGCAAATTAAAACCACAATGAGATACCAGTCAGAATGGCCATCATAAACAAAGCAACAAACAACAACTGTTGGAGAAATTGTGGAGAAAAAGGGACCCTAGTGCACTGTTGGTGGGAATGCAGACTGGTACAACCACTATGGAAAACAGTGTGTAATTTTCTCAGAAAACTAAAAATGGATCTGCCTTTTGACCCAGCAATTACACTGCTAGGATTACATCCTAAGAATCCTGAAACACCAATCCAAAAGAACCTATGCACTCCAATGTTCATAGCAGCACAATTTACAATAGCCAAGTGTTGGAAGCAATCCAGGCTAGCCTTGAGAGTAAAATCACCTGGGAAACCTTTTACATCTTTGGAATTTTAAAAGCTCAGGCAACCCATCCCCTTCACCCTGCTCAGCAGTCCCTGGGGGATTTTTAAAGTTCTCCAGGTGATTCCAACATGCAGACAAGTTTGGGAACCACTGGCACAAGGGTCTTCTGCTTTGGAGAGTGGAGAAAGGAGAGAATGCAACCCACTAATCTGTTTACAAAGGATTTTCAGAAATCAGTCATAAGCTGGGTACTTTCCAAAGGATCTTAACTGGTGTGGGAGCTAACAGTATGGCACACACAATTGTCTTAGACCATTTTTCTTTCTTTCAGAGTCTCCAAAAAGCCTTGGCTTTCAACAATGTTTAATTTGTATTCCCTATACCTTATGCTGCTGGCTTTGTGTCTCTTAATTTCAGTTTGATTCACCCTAAAAAGGATTGGCAAAAATAAGCATTCAGGAAAACAACTATTGTTGATAGTAATTCATATAATATCAAATAGATAGAATTAGCTCAACAGATTGGGAAGCTCTGGACTTTCTCTAAAATAATTAACTTATTCTTACTTGGATACGAAAGTGTCCACTAATCAGCTAATGCCACAAACAGAAAGCCATTTAAATTATGCCTCAGAGCACTTTAGAGAAGTGTTGATATTTTGGGCCAGATAACGCTTTGTCATGGGAAGATTGTGGGATGTTTAACAGCATCCCTGTCCTCTACCTACTATATGCCAGTAGCACCCATCACCCTAGACTATACCAAATAAAAATGTCTTTAGACATTTCCAATGTCACTAAATTTCCCATATGTGGCAAATCACCCAGGTCAAAACCAAATCACTGTTTACACATGCATACACACACAGTTGCATGCATATATGTCAAGCTCTCTGTGACCACTTTTACAGGGTGGGGCAAAAATAGATTTATAGTTATATGTATGCAAAGTACATGGTTTAGTCTTATGTTATTGCTTATTAATTATTGTATTATCTCCCATTTGAACAACTATAAACCTACTGTTGCCCCACCCTGTATAATTAATTTAACAAAACTTTGGGAGGTAGATGTTGTCAGCCTCCCTGAACAGATGGGAAATGTATGCATTGGTATCCTCAGTTAACAGATGAATGAGCATAACCAAGGCTTACTTTATAAGTTGTCCAAAAATTCTTCTTTAGCAAATGGTAGAACTGGGATTTGAATCCAGGCCTGGTAGATTCAAAAAGCCTTGCTCTTATTGTCTTTTATATTACACAACATTTCCTCTGATTTGTTTGTAGCTTTTATCTCTTCTTCCTAGCTGGTAAGACTACAGATCGGCAAAATCCTCTTCACCCTAAATCCCATGATGTGTCACGTGTCAACAATGAGGCGTTGCCAACAGATTTACAGACATCCCTCTCATGGAAGAGTCCTAGCAAAGCAAGAATAACAGTATTGCACACTCCTGACCTTCAGTTACAGAGACGTTCTACTGTGCAGTCATGAGCAGCTCAGAAAGAGCTGATAGGTAGCGAAACTTGATAAGTATGGAGATTGCATCAGCTCTTTACTGACATAATTAATTAATAATCAGTTCAAATTATGACACGTAGTCAGGCTGCATAGAATTCAAATTACTTTTTGCACAAAGTAATTCAGTAACAAAAAAAAGTTGGAGAGGGCTTACTGAAATATATAAGAACATGCAGAGAATACAGTATATAGCCAAGTGGTGCATGATTCTCTTTTTATTTTTTGCAACAATTTTAAGTATAGCATTTTGAATCTAAGTAGTTTGCTACGTTAAGCAACCATTTGGAGATACTGGGCTTGTACTGAAAGAATTTTATGGAGAACTTAAACTGCCATTCATAAAGTTATTTTAATTCTATACCTCTGTTTATATTTTTTATTTTTTTATTTCCAAGTAGGAACTATCTGTTGCTCATTAGAAAATCATCTGACAAATACACATATCAGAACCCAGTCTGTTCAATCCAGAATTCTCACATCTGAAGTGAGTCACTGTTTTGGGGTGAATGTTACCGAAATCTCCCATCTTTTGTAGATGGAATTCTAACAATAATTTCCCTAGATTTCCTCTTTCATGTGCTATTTAACATTGTGCCCAAAGTATTATAAAGTAGCATGAGCTAAAAGGAGAAACATATAAAAAGTGGTATCACATCTTCTGCAGAGAAAACAATTTTGGAATTAAATAAGGAACACATGAAACTGTATTTGGGATGTTATAGATAAGTCTTGACATTAATGTAGAGAGAATAATTTTTAACAGAGAAAAACCCCAGTGTCAAGGCAAAAATTAGAAGCTCAACTGTATTTCTTAGGGAAGAAAATTAAGAGTATTTTGAAACTCAGTGAAATAGAAAATTCATGTTTGGGCTAGAAGTAATTGCAGAACCAATGGGCATAAACTTAAATATCTGAAAAGACGGACAGTTAATTAATTTTGTATTACCATTGTGCAAATCCTATTAACTTTATTCAATTAACATTTGTTGAGTAGTCACATGCAATAGATAAA